TTATCTTTCATGGACTCGGGGTTTCTGCCCTGGAGTTGGGTACTTTTCTGCTGCTTCTGGAGAAGGGCCTGCCTTGCTCATGTGTTGGCAGATGGTTTTGTGTCCTGTGCGGGTTGGGGGGTGGATTCTGCTTCTTAGGAACCGTTTCCAACAAGAAAAAAAACAAAACAAAACACTTTTTTGTTCTCTCCCAGCAAGGACAGCAGTGCCTCTGCAAGCCACCGGGCTGTCTGTCCTCCTTGGGAGGCAATGGCAAGGGGCGTGCTTGGGACAGCAGCCTCTCAAGGTTAAGCAGTTAGTGAACTGATCCCGAGCTTCACTACCCAAGACTGTAGAAGAAAGCTTTTTAGAATGCCTCATGTGAGAAAGTCTGGGTTTTGCTTCTCTTTATGATGTTGCTGCTTCTCTCTCCAAAATCTTACAGATTTCTCTTACCTTCTTCCTTGGTGAGCTTCCTGGGGGAGACAGCCAGGGCGCCTCACCATCGATGGCCACAAGGGGGAGCCCGACGCGTTTCTTCCTTCCATCTCCTCTCTCACGCGAACCTCTTTTAGGTCCTCCTGGGGGAGCCCGAGAGGCCCTCCAAGAAGACTAGGGGTTCTTCCATCCGGGCTTTTTCACGCTTAGGGGAGGGGGCGGGTGGGGGGAGGGTGAAATCTTACTGTCTTATTTTACTATTTATCCTAAAATCTGTCAGAGGAGCTAATGGGCTGTAAGCAAGCGACTGAGTTTAAACTGAGAACACAGGAGAACTATTTCATTAAAGTTGCCTGAAGACGTTCTTATCAATGGAATAGAACAGGAAGGAAGGAGAGAATTTTGTAAAAATTTGAGTTTTTGTAGAGCACAAAGTGGGGCTTGAACTCACAACCCCCGAGATGGAGAGTTGCACGCTCTACAGACTGAGCTGGCCAGGCTTCTCCCAGGAGAGAATTTGGTAAGGGTTCTTTTCTTTTCTTTTCTCTTTTTTCTTTCTTCTTCTTCTTCTTCTCCCCCCCCCCCTTTTTTTAAAAATCGTGATTGTGTCTTGTCTCCCAGTGGGGCAGGTGCTCTGGCAAAGCCAGAGAGAGAGAGAAAACAAGGGACTGGGGAAGGAGCTCTCACAGGGAAGCCAGAGGCTTTCAGAGTTTGCTGATTCTAAGCTTTTTGCTGATACTTAAATGGAAAGAATAAACAATTCACAAGAGACTTGGCGAAGCTGCTGTGATTAGTGTCCTGTACTTACCTATTTGAAGTTCAGTGACACAGAGCTGGCTGTGGTCTGGGAATGGGGAGAATGCTGATTTTGTCTTCACTCTGGGCTACTGAAGAGCTCCTTAAACTCCCTGGGACTGTTTCCTCTCCTGAAAAGTGAGAGTCCTTTTGTGCTTCCACGGGAGAGGCAAGAATCAGTCTCAGCTCACCAGTGCAGTTTCCTCTCCCTCTTGGCTCAGGAAACTCAAGTCAAACTCAAAGCTTTATTTAAGGAACTCTGCAGGATCCCAGGTTTGATATCTTGATGTTGTTTTCATTCCGTGTTTTGACCTGTTCTAACTTTTGTTTTATCTGATCTTAGTGTTTTATTATTTTCCATGTTTTATATATTATGGTATACATTTTTTTTAAAAAACACTGCATCTCTTAATTCCTTGGTACTGAGCGTGGTGTAAATACACGGTAAAATGGGAGGGGAGTCCCACTAGAAGAGGTCCAGTGACCCCTCCCATACTGATGTTATGTGATTCTCAATGGAAAGGCCACTGCCTATGTCTGGAAGATACCAGGTTTGCATGGAAGGGAGCGATCCCACTGAGGGTCTTAAAGATTTCAAGAGGGGTGCTTGGGTGACTCAGGGGGTTAAGCATCTGCCTTTGGCGCAGGTCATGATCCTGGGGTCCTGGAATCAAGCACCGCATCGGGCTCCCTGCTCAGTGGGGGAGTCTGCTTGTCCCTCTCCTTTTGCCTCTCCCGCTCCTCTCCCGCTCTATCTCTCACTTTCTGTCTCTCAAATAAATAATTAAATCTTTGAAAAAAGATGAAAGTCCGAGGGGATGTGAATATGTATTTTGGGGGTGGGAAAGGCTGGAAGAGGATAAGTGATGCCTCATCTATTCCATCCATGTGCTCATCTTGACTTTTTTTTTTTTTTTTTTAAGATTTTTTGTTTATTTGACAGAAGACACAGTGAGAGAGGGAACACAAGCAGGGGGAGTGGGAGAGGGAGAAGCAGGCCTCCCACTGAGTAGGGAGCCCGACGCAGGGCTCGATCCCAGGACCCTGGGATCATGACCTGAGCCGAAGGCAAACGCTTAACAACTGAGCCACCTAGGCACCCCTCATCCTGACTTTTTATTATACCGTGTACTTTAGATTTTTTTTTTTTAGATTTTTTTTTTTATTTATTCATTTGACAGATAGAGATCACAAGTAGGAGAGACAGGCAGAGAGAGAGGAGGAAGCAGGCTCCCCGCTGAGCAGAGAACCCGATGCGGGGCTCGATCCCAGGACCCTGGGATCATGACCTGAGCCGAAGGCAGAGGCTTTAACCCACTGAGCCACCCAGGCGCCCCTATACCGTGTACTTTAATAGGGCTTGAATTCCTTTGAGTGTTTATGTAAGAACTAATTGTATCTGTAACATGTATATTAAAGGCATACTCCTACTTTGAGTAAATAAAAAGCTTTAAACATATATACTAAAACATACCAATTACTAAGCAGTTATTCATTTTCAAAATATCGCTTAACCAGGGCACCTGGGTGGCTCAGTGGTTAAGCCTCTGCCTTCGGCTCAGGTCATGATCTCAGGGTCCTGGGATCGAGTCCTGCATCGGGCTCTCTGCTCTGCAGGGAGCCTGCTTCCTCCTCTCTCTCTCTCTCTCTGCCTGCCTCTCCGCCCACTTGTGATCTCTCTCTATCAAATAAATAAAATCTTAAAGAATATATATATATTGCTTAACCAAAGGACCTAGCATGGGTTCCAGTAAATGTCTAGGTGTAATGTGTTTTGACAAGGACTTTCCCAAGAGCACCGCTCATCTGTAGACAGAAGAGCTACACTTGTTCCAGGTCAGTCGATTTAGATTTCGTTCTGATTTGTGCCGTGAAGGCCAATAATAAGCTGGAGGTATATGTTTTGAAGCCAGTGGTAAAAGTTTGCATAATTATTATCCATTTGTGAACATAAAGATTTGATGCTGTCTGGAATCCATAAATACTGAACGATTTGTTCCTTTCTGCTGTAAGTCAGATCTGTTTTCCTTATGCCTTAAAATAGCCTGTTTTGAGTTTTCATTGGCCAGATTCCACTGGTTTAGTCCATCCTGTTAGTTTTCTTGAACAAAGTGATGCTACCTAACATTTTTTCAGACTTCCAGGACATTCATCACGGGAACTCCTCCATGCCATGTGAGGGGATAATGAAAACTTGGACTTGAGGGCAGCAAGATTTGGTTTCTCCTCTGAGAAGGGTGGCAGGTGGGGGATCCCATTGATTTTTTTCTGTCAGAGATGCATCTGCTATCTGTAGATGTAAGGTTTGGATGTCTCTGTGTTTTCTCATCATAAGAGCTTTTGTTTATTCATGCATGATTGTGTCACTCCCCACTATAACGTCTGAGGTGGGCACTAACTTACCACCATTTTACAGATGAGAAAACTGAGGCTTGGAGGAGGTGGTACGTACATAAGTTGCCTAGGATTCCATATTGAATAGGAGGCCTAAGCCTAGCCTAAGATCAGGTCTGCCTGCCCCTGAGCTGATGTTCTTTTTTTTTTTTTTTTTAAAGATTTTATTTATTTATTTGACAGACAGAGATCACAAGTAGGCAGGGAGGCAGGCAGAGATAGAGAGGGGGAAGCAGGCTCCCCACTGATCAGAGAGCCCCATGCAGGGTTCGATCCCAGGACCCTGAGATCATGACCTGAGCCGAAGGCAGAGGCTCAACCCACTGAGCCACCCTGGCACCCCTGAGCTAAGGTTCTTAACTACAGCTGTAGACTACATCAGAGTCCATAAGCTGGAGAAGGAGCAGTCAAGCCTGGTGATAGAGATAGGAATAGAGAAATCCAGAGAAAGGATATAGAAATATGGTTCTGTAACTTTAGGGAAGTATGTAGTAGATGAGTTCTGTCGGTCCAAGAGTGTTGTTTGCTTGACTGAATTGGGGGGGTGGCACCATACTTTTCTCTTTGGAAAGACCTGGCTTGACAATAACCTCTACTAAGCATTTTTGCTTTTAAGATTTTCCACTATTTTTTTTTTTTTTTTACTGTATTTTGGTATGAAGAGTTTGTCTGTTTGCTATACGGTCTATCTGTGTAAATTTGTCCCATTTGGAAATGAGAAATTCTGTTTTAATGCAAAGAGTTGACAGTCTTAAATGGCCCAAAAGCGTGAAGTTCGAAGAGCTCAAATAAAACAAGAAAATAGGATATACAGTGTTGAAATTTGAGGGAACCCACTAAATAGCATTTGCTCTTTCCTGCGTTCGTTTTGAATCAAGAAATAAGTCTACAAAGAGGAAGACATGTGGAAACCATGGTATCCCCTTAATTAGGGATAAAGTGGATCTTGGAGAATGGGGATCACGACTACAGCAAGCAGAGTTTCTAATGAGGTCCCCTCCCTCTCAGCCATGGGCGGGTGTGGGACAGGGCCCCTGTCTCCAGGGACTGAGGTCCTCCACTGAAAGCTTAGGACTCTGAGGAAACTGTTCCAGGCCAAGAGGTCAGGGCTTCGCTCCCTGTCTGGGTTTTCCTCCAGATTCCGCAGTCAGATGAGCCACCTAGTTGTTCCAGGGTTGAAAGGGGGGAAGGGCTGAGTGTGGCTGGGAGTTTGGCCCTGAAGGAAATGGAAGAAACCTCAGGAAAAGGGCAGATGCATTGTGTAAGAGATTGGAAGGAGAAGCAGAGCCTTGGTTCTCCCTCTTCGGGAAGCAATTCGATAATTGTATTTAGCATCTATAAATATGTCAGCAGGTAAGTAAATTAATTTGCTTTTGTTCTGTTTAAACTTTTAGATTCTTGGCTATCAGAATACCATCTTCTTTGGTGGAGACTGTATATCCATGATTGATTACCTCTTTTGGCCCTGGTTTGAGCGGCTGGATGTGTATGGAATCGCCGAGTAAGACTTTTGACTATGGGGTTGCATTGGGTAGCAAACAGAATGGCCAGCCATTCACCATGGAAATGTAGGGATGTTTAAAGTAGAAGAAATTCCCTGGTGGACTCGGGGAGACCGTGTAGGGTCCCCAGGCAGAACACGTGCTTTGTTCCCATGATGCTCTGAGACATTGAACTTGGGTGGGCACCTGCTGGGCTCCCAGACAGTCACAGGGTGGGTGCCGGACAATTCTGGCATTGGGGAACTGGTTGGGGAACTGGGTCTGGCTGAGGCAGAACTACATCTGTACCCTCACAATGCGTGGGCTCGAACCCACCTACCTTCCACTTTGACTATCTCTGATGAAAGGTCAGATAGAACATATTTATTTAGGTTTTTTTTTTTTGTTTTTTTTTTAAGATTTTATTATTTGTCAGAGAGAGAGAGAGAGAGAGCACAGGCAGACAGAGCGGCAGGCAGAGGCAGAGGGAGAAGCAGGCTCCCCACAGAACAAGGAGCCCAATGTGGGACTCGATCCCAGGACGCTGGGATCATGACCTGAGCCGAAGGCAGCTGCTTAACCAACTGAGCCACCCAGGCGTCCCTATTTGTTTATTTTTAAGATTTTATTTATTTATTTGTCAGCGAGAGAAAGCACGCAAGCAGAGGGAGAAGCAGGCTCCCTTCTGAATGAGGAGCCCGACCTGGGACTTAGTCCCCAGATCCCAGGATTATGACCTGAGCTGAAGGCAGACACATAATTGACTGAGCCACCCAGGTGTTCCCAGATAGAAAGTATTTAGATCTTTTAAACTATGTGTCAACATAAACATGACCAAAACCTGTCTCCTCTGGGGACAGAGTACCGAGCCACGGCCCAGGAACCCTCCCCTCCTGGATTTTCCACTAACCAGTTGTACTGTCTTGAGCGAGTCACATGTATATCCTAGACCTCCACTTCCTGGTCCGTCTTGGAAAGGGCTCAGTCAGCACCAGTACTTCAAGGTTTGACGATGGTTTTGCTGACTTTTAAAAAGTGTTTTTGGAAACTACTTGTCTTTACTTTTTTCAAACTCCCTGCAGTAAAATCTAAGAATGACAGGGGGTTGTCTTTTTTGGGGATAAACAGGGAAGCCCACACACTTAATTTCCCCAGAACAGTCAGCCCACATGTATTTTAGCGGCATTGTTAAAAGCAACAACAACTTCCATGATTCAAAACACACAGAGCTGTTCCCCAAATAAGATTTTCCTCCAGGACATGATCATGATGAGTTGATGATAAGGTAACTAAGATAACTTTATAAACCAGCCTTTTGTGTCTTGTGAATCTAAAAAGCCACTCATGCCACGTTTCCCAATGGCCTCCCTTGCGGACGAGCTAACGGTTCTTTCCTGTCCTGCAGTTGTTTGAACCACACGCCAGCACTACGGCTCTGGACAGCAGCCATGAAGCAGGACCCCACGGTGTGCGCTCTTCTCATAGATAAGAACATTTTCTTGGGCTTCTTGAATCTTTATTTTCAGAACAACCCTGATGCCTTTGACTATGGGCTAGCTTGCTGAGCCTCAGTCCTTCCCTTCACCATCCAGAATTCCCAAGCATGTCGTGACTGTGTATCAGGAATTGTTTTGGTGGGTCAGTCAATCTGTTCGTTTTCTTTGAGGTTCCCAATAAACGTGGAGACGGAAAATGGATTCTTTCTGATAATCCGTTGGTGTGACTCTTCTGGCCCATACCTTCTAAAGATCCCCTAGAAATCTCTAGTGCCCAGTGCTAATGCCCAAGCACATTTGGGAGACTGGGAGCCTGTGTGCCTTCTGGTTCCTTGGCCTTTGGCTCAGTGTAACCTCCAGATTATTGGGGTTGATGCTGATGTGGAGGTTCAAGGCCTGTCCATCGGTGATGTTCATCACCACAGATCAGCACTGTCCACAACCTCCCTGGTGAGCGGAAAGCTAGAGAAGAGGAGGAAGAAGAAAACACTCCAGGTCCCAATCCTCTCCATTTGGCACACAAGAGCTGCCATCCACATGGGCACATGTGAGTGTCATTCACGTTCCCACTTTGGCGTGGGCCTGTGAGACACCGAGGGTCTTATGACTCAAAGAATTCCAAAGCAGGAAATGAAACACCCGTTGTCCGCCCAGACTAACGACGTCAGGATTTCACTGGTGCTGTCAGGGCTCAGGATGGCTCACAAAATGTTCTACAGCCAACATCCTGCCTTGAAAAAACAGACACGCCCCAAACCCAGTCCCCGGCAAAGGTCACTTTGTTGGATTTGCGTCACACACACTTTCAGTTTGTTCCAACAAACGCTTCTGGTTGCCTGCTGTGTACCAAGCCCCAGACCAATGATGGGTAAAGATGACAAAAATGCAGGAGCCTCCCGGTCATTCTACTCCTCTTGGTTGAGGTACTTTGGAGCCGCTTATCTTGGCCCCATGTGGTGTCTCCACTGGCTCTGCCCAGCGTTGCTCACCACGGACGGTGACAAAGATCCCAGGAGGGTGGCCGGGGGTGCTGGCAGGTACCCAAGCCTGGAAGCTTCTGTCCCTTACCCCACAGGAGTGGAACAGGCCTGTCCGGTGCTATTTTATCTCAGGGTCTAGGGACCAGCCTGTGATCATTTCAGCTGTGTTCACGCCTCATTGTTTCTCAGCCTCTTGGCCATGTGGGGCACCAGGCGGTAGAGGATGGGATGTTCTGCTTGTCAGTGCCCACTGAGGCGCTGTCTCCAGCCCCTGCCTCTGACTCAGCCCAACCAGCCCAGTTTCTCCCCACATCTCAGCCTGGCCTGGCCATCTGCCGCCTCTGGGTGGATTTTGACTCATGTAAATAGTTACCAGTGTGACTTGGAGCCAGTTGGACGGACGCAAGCCTGCAGTGAGGTGGCCTGGTGGGCCAGAAGAGGCTTCGCGTGACGTGGGCATCTCCAGAGGGGGCGCCCCCGTTGCCATGGCACTGGAGCCAGTGCAGAGTAAAGTATGTGAGTCCCATTTTCCTGGGATCTTTGCTGGGCCCCTGTCACCTCTCCTAGGACGTGGGGACTGACGGGTCTCTGGGTGTAAATCCTGTGTGCTGGCCGGCATTTGGCGTGAGACCGAGATTGTTGTTGACACCACAGATAATGGCATGTCTCTGGACAACCAAAACCAAAGATGTTCGTTTTGGGGCTCTATGTACTAATTTTGAAGCTTGAAGAACCAGGCTGCATTGGATGAGAAACGTGCTCGCGGGGAGAGATGGCAGGCTGGTGGCACACAGCCCGGTTTGGGGTGTGGAAGCCTTTCATCCAGGCGGGCTGTCTGCCAGCTTGCCTTGGTCACCCGCGCTGCCTTCCACGTCTCCCTTCTTTATGTCACCCTCCTGCCCCGCCGACGACTCGGTTGTCAACCTCTGGATAAAACTACAAGGGTTTAGCCTGGAGACAAGAGGCAATTAAATCATGCTCCGTGAGGAGCGTTTCAAATCCTGTGCCTTATATTGCAGGAGACGGCAGAAATAATATATCAGGCTTTTAGAAGAAATGCAACAATGAAAAAAAAATAGGGATTCTTCCACCATCTTGAGTTGCAGAGATAACCACTTTTAACAGTTGGTGTATATCTTACAAAAGCATGTTAAACCTACAGATTTAAGGTGAAAGCTGTTCTCTGTCCTGCAGAGTGGAAAAAGAGAAAAATAGTTGGAATCACAGCATTTGGAAGAGCCTCGTTGTCACACATGAAGTTGACGTCGGAATCCGCGACCAGAGGAGGTCCTGGGAAGCTCACTTCCTTCAAGGTTCCGAGCTGGAGCCCATCTGCACTGAGTCCAGTGACATCCTGACGCGGTTGGGGGTGGGGTGGGGTGGCTGGGACAGCTGGCAGTGGTTGGGGGGGGGTGGTGACTCAGCGTTACCTGAAGTTCCTTCTAGCTCTAAATTTCTCCAATCTCAAGACAGCGCAGTTGTCGACTGTTCACGTGCATGAAGTCTGAATTATAGCGTCCGAGCTGGAGTGTGTTGCTCCTGCGTGTGCCTCCACGTCGCTCTCTGGAGCTTTCGTGGCAGGTGGAAGTGGTGGTGGAGGGGTGTCTCTCTCCCTGATTCCTCACTTTCATGTCTTGCCCGGTCCACGTTTCCTTTGTCAAAGTCAATGGCCTTCTAGATGCAGGGGTTCTGTGCTGCTCGGCCTTCAGAACCAAGCTTATACCTCCCGTGGTTTATGTGGGCCTGGTTCCATTTTTTTTAGCTAAAATCTTCACAAATAACTAAATATCCAGCTCAAGGAGAGGGCTGGTTCTTGTAGATCAGCCTCCAGCCCCTTTCTCCCTTTCCCCCACACACCGAACACTCTGCCCACCCAGGAGACTCATTTCCTATTCATCTCCTTTGCGAGTCCCTGGAAGGCTGGACATTGTTTTTTTCAAACATTTTGCTCACCTCTGGCTCCTCAGAGCTCTTGAGCCTCTGCTCATGCTGTTGTCACTACTCTGCAGCCTTTCTCAGAACGGACTCTGGTTTTGTTTTCAACCAGCCTTTTCTCTTGCAAGTTCAGATACAAAATTCTTTTTTGTGCCAAGAGATACTGCACCAGTGTGCATAAGAATAGGGCTGTTCGGTCAGACATACTGAGTTCCAGTCCTAGCTCATTAAATTCTGTTGCGTAACCTCTCTGAGCATGTTTCTTATCTGTAAAATGGGACCGTGAGTTTCTATTTCATAGGGCTGTTGAAGAATGATGAGACCCTCCGTGAAAGGGCTCAGCACCTGCCAGGTAAATGCTCAGTGAGTGGCCGGCAACCCTGTTATCGTGGCGAGACTCCTGCAAAAGATCAAACCTGACCTCTGTGTTCATTTTCCCATCACTTCGTGGGACAAGATGTCCTACACTGCACATGGCTTGATTCATGGTTTGGATGTTTTCTGGTTTTGTGCGTGTGGGCGTAATCTCAAATGACCTGTGAGCCCTTGGAAACTGGGACTTTTTGTCTCTCTTCCTCCCCTTCCTAGCACCCCAAGCCTAGCTGATCACTGAATCCCCAAATCTTGCTACATTGTCGATGATGGGAACATACAGACCCTTTCCCCTGTTGTGAAGTGCTCCGAATCCTGCTTCTCTGCCCTCCTGGAGTGTGTTTAAGTAGAAGCGTCTGAAATGACCAAAGTCCTGCATGGTGATGAGTCAGCTTGAGGGCTGTGCTGCGTGGAACACACAGGCACCCCAGGGGGCATGCTGCTCAGGGAAAGGACAGGTGCTCCAGGCAAGCACCGTGGAATACTCTGTCTTGTCACTGCCTCCCAAGGATCCAGCACTTCAAGAATCCCCTTGCAGACAGTGGGGTCCCGGCAGGGACCTTGTTGGTAGCAGATGGTGTGGCTGAAGATCAAGGGTCTGCTTGCTGGCATCGGGGCAGGCTGGCAAGTGGGTTTGCAAGCCTGTTGGGCCCGTGACAAAGCAGCCGAGGCAGGTTCCGACCTGCAGCTCGCCCAGGGGAGCCGGAGCAGTCCCTGTCCTGGGAGTTTCCGAACTGGGGTTTCCGAACCTAGCATGGCGACCTGTTAGCAGGAGCAGCCTTTGATAAATCTGGGTTTATGCTTCCAAAGCCGGGGAATATTGGGTTATGCTCAGGGATTTAGGAAGTCTCTCAAAAGGGGTGTGTGTGTGTGTGTGTGTGTGTGTGTATTTCTGTGCATTTCTGCCATAGGAGGAAGGTACCAGGATAAATAATTAGAAACTGTAGAGATAGTAAGGGCAGGAATCATTTTTTTTAAAGATTTTATTTATTTATTTGACACAGAGAGATCACAAGTAGGCAGAGAGGCAGGCAGAGAGAGAGACGAGGAAGCAGGCTCCCTGCCAAGCAGAGAGCCTGATGCGGGGCTCAATCCCAGGACCCCGAGATCGTGACCTGAGCTGAAGGCAGCGGCTTAACCCACTGAGCCACCCAGGCGCCCGGCAGGAATCATTTTTTTTAAAATTCCGTCCTAAAATAAAATGGTAGTTGGCTATTCATTTGCTCTAGAAAGGCCCTCTTTGGGGACTTTATCTGGGACAACCTGATGGCAGCAGGGGTGGGGTAGGGACGACGGGCATCCCAGTTGCAGTGGAGCAAGAGCTGCCTAACCTGGAAGGCAGAGGAAGGGCTGGGTGGGGCTCTGCTCAGGCTTCTGGTGTTCCGTGGAGGAAGGAACCCAAGGTAGAGTCAACAGAAAACTTCTGTTTATGGTTTTTGTTTGTCTGTTCTGTTTGTTGTCTTTGAGTTTATTGTACAAGTCCTAAGCTAAGTGCTTCCCATGTGACCTTTTTACTTAGTCTTCTCAGTGGCTCTGTGCGGTGGATAGTATCATCCCCATTTTACAGAAGAGACTGAGACAAAACCAGGGCTCATAGACATTACAAAGACTTGCTGAGCTAGGTCATGGCACAGCTGGATTTTAACACAGAGCCCAAGTTCTCAGCCCCTGTGTCACTTGTACGGTCTGGAATCTCAGACTCCTTGGTCTTTGCATGGCTTTGTCATGGGAGATGCTGGGTGTCTAGTGGGCGGTATCTCACATGCAGGTCTCTATTTTGGGTGGGTGCGTGCAGTTAAGGGCAGGGGTCCCTACTTCCTTGTCTCTCTGGATCTTGAAACATTCAGGCTGAGCGATCTTGCTGCTTGAAGTCTGGTTCTGGATGGGTGGAGTTTCAGTAGTTTCCCTGCCT